AATGCCCTACCAACGGAGATCAGACAGGCCCCGTCGCTACTGGCGTTTAGGAGGCGGGTGAAGACGTGGCTCTTCGAACAGGCGTTCGGATAAGCATGCAATTAACATCTGACTCAGAAAGACGGCATACTGAACAAGGAATGGTAAAACGACTGTGAGATTTGGATCTGATTCTATTCGAGGCGTGATGACGTTATGTGTATTGTTTGTGGATGTTTGTCACATGTATTGTTCAATGTTGCACTTTTTTACTGTAAACCGCTTAGAGTCGCCTTTTTTGGCTGATATAGGCGGTATACAAAAGGAGTAAATAAATAAATAAATAATAAAAGCTGGAAAGTTAAATAGCCTCTGTGTGTCTTGTCTATGTATGTTGTGTGTCTAAGGCATTGAATGTTTGCCATGGCATTCAATGTATGGCATTGAATGTTTACACATGCATTGTGATCTGCCCTGAGTCCCCTGCAGGGTAAGAAGGGCAGAATATAAACACTTTAAATAATAATAATAATAATAATAATAATAATAATAATAATAATGTAGTATAGCATGTGTTGCTATGATGTCCAACAGATGGTGCTGTTTTGCAAAAAAGGATAATTTTACCTGTCATAGGTGTGACATCTATATAATAGTAGGTATGTAAAAACATAAAAATATGTGCCTATTCGAATGCTATATTGTGTCAAAATTTCAAAGGAAGGACAGTTAGGAACTTCAGTGAGAGAAAAGCAGTTAGGAAAATGGAGCTTAAGTTTTGAGGAAAATAAAGAAGTGCCAGTGTGGTTTAAGGCGGAATATAGTCCTGTCAAGAATGTATGAAAAAGTAACATATTTGCTGATGTGAAACAGTTGAAGTTTAAATAGGATAATTTAACTAAGTGAATGATATTGCATGTAAGACTCAAGATTGTAACAGAACACACAAATGTAACCATAAGTGTTGGAGCCAGAAGCTATAAATAAACTTTGTTACTTTGTTTACTACAAAAAAACATTTTTCAAAGGAATTGGTGATGGATTTTGGGAGATTTAAGATTTTGACCAAACAAACATTTACATTTTTATTTATATAGATGAGTTTGCAGGAAAAGGCTATCTCATTGTTTTTAATTTCTGTACATCACTTAGGGAATGTTAGGCCCTTTTGAATGAGTAGTAATAATGTCCCAGCTCTGATCGAGATTTATATGTTTTCCTCCTTGCAGGGCATTGCATATTTCAAAGAAGATATTTCCACAATGGAAAAGGAGATAAAAGTCTATCAGTCGGAGAGACAAAACATCTACAAAAATAGAAGAGAACTTTACAGTGAGTCAAATGTGGTGTTTTTTTATAGATAATGTACTAAAACAATATATCCATGCTGAAAATTGATAAAGAGATCATCAGCAATAGGGAATGAGCAATATGGGTAAACATGGTTTCCTTGAGAGCTTTTAAATGTCACATTCATATCACATTCAGTCCTGCCTCCTTCACAGTTGTCATTGGCAGGGATGAAGGACAGGGCCTTTTTGGTGGTGGTCCCTCGGATGTGGAACTCCCTCCCAGGCATGTAGTCGGGGGGGGGGGTTGAGGGTCTTCAGCCCCCCCCTGAAATTCTCAGGGTGGTCTGTGAGAAGGCTTTACTGGTACATTGTTTAAACTGTTATGTTTATTCATATCATGATCTGATCACCATGCTCAATATATCCCATATGCATGGGGGTATTGGGATAATGATACAAAAGGTTTGCTAGTGTAGACCCTCAGCCCCCCCCCCCCCCGAATCAAAATCCTGGCTATGGGCCTGCTCCCTCCCCAGAGAGATCAGATCGACCCCCCTACCCTCCTAGCTTTTAGGAAACAACTTAAAACCTGGTTATTTAAGAAGGCATTTGATGAATGACAGAAATATGGAAATAGTTAAAGATATCCTCGGGATTGTGCAAGGACTAAATGTTTTATGTATTCTATTTTTAGGGAATGTAGAGAGTCCATATCCACATTTTGCAATTCCTCCTGAGCCACTTTAACTCAAGGGGGATTTTTTTACAAATAGGAAATGGCTTTTGGTCACTTCCTGCTGTCAAAAAATATGATCTCTCGATCGCTCTATATATATGTATATGTATGTATATGTGTGTGTATGTGTGTATGTATGTATATGTGTGTATATATGTGTGTGTGTGTGTGTGTGTGTGTGTGTGTGTGTGTGTGCATGCCAGGGGTCCTCAAACTTTTTAAACGGGGGGCCGGGTCACAGTCCCTCAAATTATCGGAGGCCGGATTATAATTTGAAAAAAACATGAATAAATTCCTATGCACACTGCACATATCTTATGTGTAGTGCAAAAGCCACTTAAAACAATGCAATAATTAAAATTAAGAACAATTTTAACAAATATAAATGTATTAGTATTTCAATGGGAAATGTGGTCCTGCTTTTGGCTGATGAGATAGGGTTGTTGTTGTTGTTGTTGTTGTGTGCTTTTGAGTCATTACAGACTTAGGTTGACCCTAAGCGAGGGCCAGGTAAATGACTTTGGAGGGACGTATCTGGCCCCCTGGCCTTAGTTCGAGGACCCCTGGTATATGCTGTCCCCGGCCATGCGTTGCTGTGGCCTAGTCTGGTTAAATGGAAAAGAAAGAAAAGAGAAAGAGTAGGTTTCTAATATAATGAATTCACCAATGCTTGTGGGTATACATTTTTTGTTGTTCCATTGTCTGTGCAGATATAGAGGTTGTCTGGTTTGCTGACTATAGAACATGCAACATATGAGAGAAGCAATCCGTGTCTAGATCTGAACTGCAGAATTCTAAAGATTGGCCCTGAGCTTTGTGGGTGGTGATTGCAAATGCCAATCGAATTGGGAATTGCAACCTCTCAAATTGAAATAGCATATCCGTTTGAATCATAGGAATGCGAAGAATGAGGACATCTTCCACCCAGATATCAAGGCAGATAATCTTTGAACTGGGTTATATGGCAGTGTGGACCATGGGCCATATAACCCAGAATATCAAGGCAGAAAAACCCACAATATGTGCTTTGAACTGGGATATATAAATTGAAGGAGCCATCCTCCAAGGTTGATTGATGTGCCTCTAGTTGCCACCACAGTCCAGACCATTTAAAACTTGAAAGCCATTCTGATGTCTGTTTCCAGACACTAAACTTTCTCAATTTTTCCTAGATTATTTCATCAAAAAATGGATAAAAGACGAGAATCTTCACAAGGTACGTTTTGACTTGGAAATTCAAACTTTTCAGAGCACATTTGTCAAAGAACCTCTGTTGTGATCCAACTCATAGCAGCAGTATTTCTCATTCAGCTAGTCAAATGTGTTCTGGCACAGCTGTACCAGGAGCTCCAATTTTGTTTGCTTTGCATTGAATGTTTGTTTGTAGTCCTAAGTTTCAGGGACTCTGCAGATAGGTGGCTTCTTTTGGCTGCAGTCATAGGGCAAGCCACCTGTCAATTATCATTGGGTTCCCTAGTTCTGCCCCCTTTTTGGGCTTTGGAAGGGAAATGAGCCATTTTGTTAGTTAGTCTCAGCCAGGTTAGCTTTTGTATAGGATGTAACTTCCCCTGTACAAAGGCTTCAAGCTTTAAGAATTTCCAGGGTTACAGAAATTCCAACAGAAACAGAAAGGAAGGAAATCCAGAGGAGAACAACTTTAAGAGTCTCCTAAGAACTCCAGGGAAGCATTCCCACAGCTTTGGGAATTTCCAGGAAAACAGCCTTAAAGACTAAAGAACTCCAGATGGAGAATATCCACTGTCTTGCTGGTAGGTCCACTCGGCGTCCGAGAAGCAGTTCGACCCGGTAGCGGAGCACACATCAGTGAGGGTTGGATTTCAGTCAGCCAGGGAGAAGTTAAAAAGGGGAATTTTCCTTTAAAGAAAACGTTACTGAAGACAGTGCCTGTCCCCTGTGGACAAGATTGAGAGAACCAATACTTTATCCAGAAAGCCTTGAAGTTACTGTTTGATTTCATTAATAAAAGACTTTGTTGTACTTCTCTAGCCATCTGAAGATTCTTTTGTAGTGGAAACCTCTGAGAACTTCTCTTTAGGCCCCTGGCTTCCCGCTGGGCAAAGGTTACACATCCTATTTTTAAAAGTCAGCTAACTACAGGCCCAGCGGCGACAGAACAAAATGCAACAGATGGTTCTCTTTTAAAACAATAAAACATTCAATATTATAAAATTCAATTATTTATCTTATAATTTGATATCATATGGAGGACATCATTCTGGACTCATGTCTCCCTGCATGGTAATTACAAAAGACATTATGAAACACCCTTTCAAAATATCTGTAACCAACTTTGCTAGCATCCTTGCAGGGTATGAAAATACAGAAATAAATAAGCCAGGGCAAGTGAAAGACAATTCAGTTTCCTGACTAGATTCTATCCAATTGCAGATGTTTTGCAAGTACGAAAATGACATCTTGACAATTTTGGGAGAATATATAAGAAGAAATAGAAGAAGAAATGACAAGCTTGACACCATTCATGATGGGCTACAGCTAAATTGCGATGAAATGGAGGGTCTGTTGCTAAGTAAATCATCAACTGAATCTGAAAAGGTAATTTTGGTTTTATAAGTGCTTAATAATGGTGCACTGATTTAATCCACACAAAGGATGGCTAAAGTATCCAAAATGTGATGCTGTGAAATAAGTCCTTGGAAATGGTAGCATATCAGATGAAGGGAGGAGTAGTCACAGGGCAAAGCATGCACTAGCACAGTGTTTCCCAACCTTTCTAATGACGCGACCCCTTAATACAGTTCCTCGTGTTATGACCCCCAACCATAAAATTATTGGGTTGTTGTAGGTTTTTTCGGGCTATATGGCCATGGTCTAGAGGCATTCTCTCCTGATGTTTCACCTGCATCTATGGCAAGCATCCTCAGAGGTAGTGAAGTCTGGGTACCTCTGAGGATGCTTGCCATAGATGCAGGCAAAACGTCAGGAGAGAATGCCTCTAGACCATGGCCATATAGCCCGAAAAACCTACAACAACCCAGTAATTCTGGCCATGAAAGCCTTCGACAATACATAAAATTATTTTCATTGCTACTTTATAACTGTAATTTTGTTACTGTTATGAATCGTACTGTAAATATCTGATATGTAGGATGTATTTTCATTCACTGGACCAAATCTGGCACAAATACACCAAATTTGAATACTGGTAGGATTGACGGGGATTGATTTTGTCATTTGGGAGTTGTAGTTGCTGGGATTTATAGTTCACCTACAATCAAAGAGCATTCTGAACTGCACCAACAGTTGAATCGAACCAAACTTGGCACACAGAACTCTCATGACAAACAGAAAATACTGGAAGGGTTTGGTGGGCATTGACCTTGAGTTTTGGAGTTGTAGTTCACCTGCATCCAGAGAGCACAGTGGACTCAGACAGTGGTGGATCTGGACCAAACTTGACACGAATACTCAGTATGCCCAAATGTGAACACTGGTGGATTTTAGGGAAACGAGACCTTGACATTTGGGAGTTTTAATTGCTGGGATTTATAGTTCACCTACAATCAAAGAGCATTCTGAACCCCACGCTCACAAGGGTGGAGTGGGGAGATACTGTATTGGTGCCTCTTAGATAACTCTTATTGATGAAACCGCTTGCATAAGTATACAAATAAAGATTATTATTATTATTAATTATACACTCACAAGGATGGAGTGTGGGAGACACTGTGTTGGTGCCTCTTAGATAAGTCTTATTGACGAAACTGCTACTATAAACAGACATGTTCTTTTTTTTAATCAGTTGTGTTTCTTCTCCCATACTACTACTTTAGGAATGACAAGACTGCAAGGATTGTGGTTGAAATGAGAATACTGGAACTTTATTGTATTACACATTCTTGTTCAAAGACATGATAAAATACTGTACTGCGAAATAAATAAAACTGTATTTCCAAGTATGCTGTACAAAATGTTTCATTTTCACATCACGAAGAAATATATGTACAGGAAATAGGCCTTGATCATTCACCGTTCAGGTGAGCCTCAGCTTTAGGGTCCAAGTAGCCAATGAAACAGTCTTAATGCATTTCATGCACTGAATGTCCATAAGCTGTTTAGGAGGCACGACTCTGCCTTGTGTCCAGTGCTGGGGCAACATTCTGTGCCAAGAAGGAAAGCTGTACCTGAAAGTTAATACAAAGACCGCTTATCATAAGAAATGGGCACATCCCAGAAGCTCTAAACCCTTATTGGCTCTGGTACTTACTCAGAGAGGCAGCAGTTGCAGTTAACGTCCATTTGCTCCCTCGGAGAGTATCCGGGAGGGTTCAGTGTATTTTGCCGTAAGCAGGTAAAAGAGAGCTGGTGCAGGGACTAAAGCCAGCAGAGGCAAGTCCTGGTAAATGTTGTTGAGCTTGGAAATGGAGATGATTCCATAGGCATGCAGCAGCCAATGGCTAAAGAGAACGATAAGCCTTTTCTTCCTCACAATGAGATCCCTGAATGTCTGGTAAATAAAAAGAAAAGGCTTTCATTAGTTTTGATGTTTCTGTTATTTCGAACATTTTCAGTGCTAAAGTTAATGCATAGCATATAAAAGGAACAGAAGAAGTGTTTTTAAAACAACTCCTGTGTTTTCCTCAAATAAAAGAATGGTTATTATACATGTTTCCATGGCATTGCTGAATTTCCTTCTTTATTTGATTGTGATTCTGAAGAAGATGAGCCATTCTCAGCCATTAATGTTCAGAAGTGTTAGAAAAGTAGGAGGACTGGTTCATAAATCATAAGAGTAAAAAATATATATCTAAATATCAACTTCTCCTCCTCAGTAGCAGTTGTATCTTCTATACATACAATAAAAGTGAATATATGTATGTAGGTGTATGGCTGGGGTGTCCACTTCCACAGACGAGCTCCCACTTCCACAAACAGCTATACCTCCCACTACTCAGGAGACACCAAAGACCCTCTCTCCAATGACATAATGAGCACCGCAAACATGTCCATACTGCTCACCACTCAGGAGAAGGCTTTCATACGGGGACAATTTCATCCTAGATTTTCTGTTTTTTTCTCCACCACAGACATCCCAGTGTTTCTTATTTATTTATTATTTATTTACTGTATTTGATACCACCTTTATCAGCCAATCAGCGACTCAAGGCGGTTTCCAACAAATCAATACACATAAAATCATAATACAGAATAAAACAGTAAAACATTAAAACCAGTATAAATACACAACAAGAGCAATACTCTTTCCATTGCTGTGGAATTTGCATGACCCCACCCACGGCTTCTCCCATAACCCTTTCTTATTCTTTTCTATGGCACACAGCAAACAGAGAAATTGATCGGCAACTGAACATACTAGAGAGGCTTAGGGAGAATTCACCATGATTTATATGAGTTGTATGTACTGGGATGTATAGTTCACCTACAATCAATGAGCACTCTGAACTTCACCCACGACAGAATTGGACCAAATTTGGCACACAGATCCCCCATGACCAGCAAAAAATACTGGAGGTCTTTGGGGAAAATTCACCTTGATTTGGGGGAGTTGTAGTTCACCAACATCCGGAGAGAAGTGAACACCCAAACACCGATGTATCTGGACCAAACTAGGCACAAATATCTCATATGCTGAAATCTGCTTACTGGAGGGGTTTGGGGGAAACTGACCTTCCTTTCTGGGAACTGTAGTTCACCCACAACCAGATAAACTGTGACCTGGACCAAACTTGACACACAGAACCCTTATGTCTAACTCAATCTACTGAAGGAGTTTGAGAGGACTGATTCACCATAATGAAAGTTTTAGTTTACCCTACAGCCAGAAAGCATACTGAACTCCACCAATGCATCCAGAGCAATGTAACACACTTTAAGTACTGATGGAGTTTCTCGGGTTTAACCTGGCATGATGTGAGTCTACAACCTTATGCATTTTGCACAATTAAAAATTTGACTTTTTCAAATTACCCAGACAATGCCGGGTACCCAAGCGATTAACTATATATAGCTTAATATGGTGACATATACCTTTGCCTAGTAAAGCAACGTGACAAACAACTTTACTGACAAAGACTATGATAACAATAGAAGGGAATGGCTTCATTTGAAAACAAAACTATTATTCACAGAATAGGCTGATTTTGAGGTCAGGGGATTTCTGATCATTTAAGGCCATTTTTGTTGGTTCACGTTTTTTAAAAAAAATGATATTTACATACATATTTAATCCATCTTCAAAAGAAGTGGTGTCATACTTACTTCTATTTCAGAAGCAGACAGATACACTACCAGAGTAACAAGAGATGCAACAATGATAATGTAAGGGAAGGCATAGTCTGAAAGGAAAGAGCAGGACAGTAATCACACATATGATATGTTTCCTACACATCAAGAGCTAAGTAGAAACAATAGGTTCTTTCAGTGTATTTTTCTGCCTGCTTACGCAGGAGTAAGCCATTTTTGGATTCAGCCACTTTTCTTTCCTGGAAATTCTGCACAGGCCTGCAGTCATCGCTCAGTTTCCTTGTAGTAATTGAAAAAAGTAGTAAAGTACTCAGAAAATGAAATGGTTTTTAAGTGGCAATCTAATATAGCTTCTTGTCTCTACCTTAAAATACAGTTCCATGAAAGGATGCCCTATTTCCTTCACTGTAGCCATGTATAAATATGTGAGAGGAAGCCACAGGGAGGAGGGAGCAAGCTTGTTTTCTGCTTCCTTGGAGACTAGGACGCGGAACAATGGCTTCAAACTACAAGAGAGGAGATTCCATCTGAACATGAGGAAGAACTTCCTGACTGTGAGAGCCGTTCAGCAGTGGAACTCTCTGCCCCGGAGTGTGGTGGAGGCTCCTTCTTTGGAAGTCTTTTAAACAGAGGCTGGATGGCCATCTGTCAGGGGTGATTTGAATGCAATATTCCTGCTTTTGGCAGGGGGTTGGACTGGATGGCCCATGAGGTCTCTTCCAACTCTTTGATTCTATGATTCTAAAGCCACCCTGAGTCCCCTTGTGGGGAGCTATGCCAAGTAGTGAAATCACAAGTCAGAGCTGTTTGAAAGGAAAACTCAGGAATTTTAGCAGGAACATTTCTCAAATAGGAAGCCCCTTTACTGCTGTTGATTGCCTACCACATTAGGAAACCTATTCTTTTGTGCAGGGGAAAAAAATATTACTTCACAACCTCTGAGAATGCCTGCCACAGATGTAGGAAAAACGTCAGGAGAGAATGCTTCTGGAACATGGCCATTCAGCCTAGAAAACTCACAGTAACCCAGTATGACTTCACTTAATGTTTTCAATCATGAATCTCTTTATGAATGTTTTGGGATTCTGATCCAGCTTCTTGTTATATCTCTAAATTTCCATATCCAACAGAAATATTTGCTTGCTCTCTCTATATCTTTGTTAAAATTTCATTTTACAAGTTCACCTGTTTTCCCTCCTATAATTTATGTTATGGAATATTTTTAGGCTGCATACCTGGGAGCACCCCTCCATTCACTCTAAATATGATCTCTGCATGTTATACTCTCTTTGCATGCTGGACCATAGTGACAACTTACACAGCAAACCGCCTCCAACTGCCTGGAGTAAAGTTAGGATTGGGAAAAAATAGAGGGCTGCATAAATGCTCTTAAACCGATCTGTCTTTCCCAGGCCACAAGCAATCTTCTTTACCAAAAGGGGACGGAGCAACATCATCAGCACCAAACAGAAGGCGTAATATATAAATACAATGGTGTACCTGAAAGAGAGAATGATTGGTATTATTAATACCACAAGAGGACAATCTGTCACAGCTGGAGCTTCACCCCACACATTCTATGGGGATTTGGGTGAAATGAGCTAAGAATCTGGCATGAAATACATGCAATGCATTAGTTAAGAAATCTCTAGTTACACTTACTTAGGAGAAAATTCCATCAAACACAGTACAGTGCACTTCTACATAAATAATCACACATGGGATGTAACACAAGAAGAAAACACAAAAGCTGCTTCTAAATTGCCATGAATCGATACTTTAGAAATCATTAAAGCTGTGCTACACAGTACATAGATTTACATAAGTGAGGCCAAATCATACTCACAGAGGATAGACGGCTTCATGGGTACAGTGAATGGTGGTAACGTAATCAGGACTCGGATTGTAAAGCATGGTGTACCAGTCAGAAAGCATCACCACCTTGCATGAACGGATTTGCAGGGAGCCAATGGGGTCACTCACAAGTAAAGTAACAATTGCGGCCCCACTGCATTCAATTAGAGCAGTGATGTGCTGGAAGAGAGCACTGGAGCTGGAGAGAAATGCAAGTTCCCAAAATCAATACTGAGGACAAACTGTCCTTCAGAAATTTTCAATTATGGTCACCCTTCGGTTTTGACTTTTGTGGATTTGATTAAAATGTTATTTCTAGGTCTTCCAGTGTGATTTGGGCAGAAGTTGATCATAGAGTTATGCTAGAAAACCTAGACATTCCTAGAGATGTGTTCTTACAAGATGTGTTGTTATAAGTAAAATATTTGCAGATTTTTAACTTTGTGCCCTTGACCCAAGCAAATGTGGAGGGCTGACTACTGAAATCCCATCAGCACGTGTGAGACTTAATAGTCCAAAATAACTGTCAGACATCAAAGTTGAGGAAGAAGTGGTTAGTAAAACGATAAATGCCCTAAAATGGCTGCTTCCAGATTGTGGAGACTCATGTTGTTTGGTTATCCCTTTTGCCACCAGGTGAAGGTAAGTCTTTGGCTGAAAATCTACATGACAGAACGAGTTTGTGATGAGTATATGAGTAGGGAAGTGTCATTTAATTTTTAAAAAAATCTTAATCTCTGCTATTATAATCAAGGACATCTAATCACCTCTCAACAAAAGATTGCCCCAGGCACTGCCAGGCCATCAAATGCTAATCTAGGTGGTCAGTTGAAACATTCACACCTAGCTCCAACAGACAAGAGTTCTTTGTCCCACCCTGGTCATTCCACAGATATATAAACCCATTTTCCTAGTTCCAACAGACCTCACTACCTCTGAGGATGCTTGCCATAGATGCAGGCGAAACGTCAGGAGAGAATGCCTCTAGAACATGGCCATATAGCTCAAAAAAACCTACAACAACCCTCTGTTATTATACTTTTTAATTTTGTTTTTATGTGTCCTGCTATTCTTGTAAAAACTCAGTTCTTGTGGGTTTTTTCGGGCATATGGCCATGTTCTAGAGGCATTTTCTCCTGACGTTTCGCCTGCATCTATGGCAAGCATCCTCAGAGGCGAGACGTTTGCATGAATAATGTTTTTTATATATATTCTGCAGTCTTATATAAGAAGAAAGGTGTAAGGTGTAAATGAATAAATATGTAATAAATAAAACAAATCCCTGAATAGTGACAGTGAAGCAACAATTTAACAATTAATTAAATTGTTAAATTAAATTACTTAATAAAACACATTTTAACTCCAAATTTATCAAGTGAAGTTACCAAAAATATCATATTTTTATGATGTACTAGGTATTAGCAGAGTGTTGAATTCCCATTTTGGAAAATTGATGAGGTAACATGCAGACACACATTCAACTTAAAAGAAAGCATCATTCTTGCTTGAAAGAAGGTCTGATTTTAAATAAATATTTACCTCTTTTTCCCTGAATACCATTCAATGAAGAACCAATGCAAGATCAGAGGAAGCATGGCCATAAAGCCAAGATACAGCCAGTCATAGCGCTCTGGAGATCCAATACATTCTCGGCAGATTTTGCGGGCGTCTGTTCTTTGTCCTCTTGGACACACCTGTAGAGTATCACCACAATTACAAGAGTAATACTTTTATTAAAAAAAAATTAACTGAAAAAACATGACACACTTTATCTACTGAGATAAGCCCAAGATGTTGCTATTCTTCTCCTCAGCCATATCTAGTAGCAGCTTTATTGCAAACAAACAATTTGAAACATTCAAGTGGCTTTGCTCCATAATCCTCTACTCACCCCACATTCACCATGAACGTCAGTCCCATTTATAATTTCGACTATTCGTCCACAATAAAGTCCAAGGCAGTCTGGCTGGATGTCTACAGCTTCTACAAAATATGAAAAAAGACCAAAATAAAATAAGTACCGTATTTCACTGAATAGCTGTCTCACCCTGTTTTCTGAGTTCAAATATTGGTTTTTAGCCTTTCATCATGTAATTGTGGGCTAACCATTAAAAGAAATTATTTTTAAAAGTGTGGGGTTCCCACTGCAACACCTGTTCCGTTTCTCGACATTTACCTTGCTTCCCTTTTGTTGTTGTTACTATATTGAATTTTAGAAGTACTATAATACTAGATTTTTTTATTTTAAAATCTGCACGTAATGGTCGCACACCATATTTTGGCCCAAAAATCCACATAAAATCTGCAATGGTTATGTAGTACAATATGGTAGTTTTTTTTCTTGCATCATAATAGGCATAATAACTGATCTGCATCAGTGGGAAGACTATCTATCTGCTCAATAATGCTACAGCTCTTTAGAGTACTGAAGGACAGCTCTTACCCATATCCACAAACCCATACCCTATTTCATTTTGATTTAAAATCTGCTTTTAATACTAGCAGGCAAATGGGAAAGTGATAGTTGAGTGGAGAACCTACTCCTTCCGTTTTTCAACTACATTCTTCATTATCCCTTAATTGGCATAGTATGCACTCAGAACCATGCATTCAGAACCATTCTGACTTGAAGGGGGTCAGAGAAAAGGGAAGTATTATGGGAAGCATTTTTTCTGAAATACTGGAAACCATTTATGGGCTTTTGGGGCAAGAGGAATCCTAGCAATACAATAATGTGTGCTTATGGTTATTAGTGGCCTTCTGTTTATTTAGCTCTATAATGGAAAAATGTTTTATTTTTAATAATTGAGGATCAGAGTTCTTTGTATTTTAATTATTTAGTGTTTAAGGCAGGCATGGGCTGTTACGAATTGTGAGAGTTGGAGTCCAAAACACCTGGAGGGGGGGCTGAAGTTGGCCCATGCTTGGTTTAAGAGGTATTAGATTGTCAGTTACCTTGAAAATATTGTTTTAGTTAATATCTTTGGTACAATGTTTAGCAGGAAGTTTAATCTTAAATTAAGTTTCATTCTTAACTATCTATATAAATAAAAATGTAATGTTTGTTTGTGGGATTTTTTATTTTATTTATCATGTCAGGGGCAACCAGACAATTGTATTACATTCCTAACAGAACAAAACAAACAAACAGACAGCCAAAACACAAAATTTGCAAGCTTGGTAGTTGATTACATGTCCTTTGACCAGTATCTGGCCACTTGGAGTGCCTCTGGTGTTGCCGCAAGAAGGTCCTCCATTGTGCATGTGGCAGGGCTCAGGGTGCATTGCAGCAGGTGGTCAGTGGTTTGCTCTTCTCCACACTCGCATGTCGTGGATTCCACTTTGTAGCCCCATTTCTTAAGATTGGCTCTGCATCTCGTGGTGCCAGAGTGCAGTCTGTTCAGCGCCTTCCAAGTTGCCCAGTCTTCTGTGTGCCCAGGGGGGGGTTGGTATCAGCCATTGATTGAGGTTCTGGGTTTGAGCCTGCCACTTTTGGACTCTCATTTGCTGAGGTGTTCCTGAAGTGTGGGGTTAACATAACTCAAAAACCATTGGCCAAACTGTCACCAAAATTAGAAACAATACACCTATCAGGCCAATGAGGGATCATCACTCATAAAAACACTGAAAAACACAGGGTACCAAAAAACAATAAAAAAACCATTATAATGCATGTGCAAAACCACATATATATATACGCAAACACACACATATACACAAATATATACACACTCAAAAGCATATATACAGACTGGGCCACAGCAACGCGTGGCAGGGGATGGTTAGTATATCTATATGTACATTTGTATAGATCATTATTATCCTTTTCCATATATTTTTTTCTTCTATCCTTTTCCCTTTGTTTTGTCTGATGCTGTTTGAATTATATATCTGAAGATTAAAGTATGGATGTGCATGTTTGTGCCACAAAGGCTGTTGCCAGGTGAAGTGGTCCTTCACGATTCCATTATATTGGCTGTTGCCAGGTGAGGCGGCCCTTCACCATGTCATTGCATTGGTTGTTGCTAGGTGAAGTGGCCTTTTGTGATGCCCTTACATTGGCTGTTGCTAGGTGAAGTGGCCCTTTGTGGCACCATTAGATTGGCTGTCCAGGTGAAGTGGCCCTTCACTATTACCATTAAATTGGCTGTCGCCAGGTGAGGTGTCCGTGATGTCATAAATTGGCTGTTGCTTGGTGAAGTGGCCCTTTGTGGAGCCATTAGATTGGCTGTCGCCAGGTGAAGTAGCCCTTCGCGATGCCATCAGAGTTACTGTTGCTAGGTGAAGTGGCCATTTGTGATTCTACTGGGAAAGAAAGGTGGCAGGTGCTTCTGAGGGGAAGGGAAGGAGGAAGGAAAGGAGAAGGAAGGGAAATGAAAAGGGGAGAAAAACTCACCCATCTTTTTCCTGGCCTTTCCTCTAGAGAATGACAATAAAAGAACAACAATATCCGGGTCCTGAGGGCGCAACCAATCAAGAAGCGACTTCAGCTGCTTCTGTCAAACGTCACTTCCTGCGAGAAGCCTCAGCCCCTTGTTGATTGGCCGCCTCTTTTCGGATAACTCCGCCCTTTCAGTTGACGGGCGGTTTCGTCCAATCCTCTTCTCAGGCCTTCTTCAGCTGGGCCAATCAGAGTCAGCGGAACGTTTACATATTAGCCAATCACTGCCCTGGATCTATCGATGGGTGGGGCCTAACTGGAGAGAAACCTTGGGTGATGGAGAGCAAGATGGTATCCGGGTGAGTGAAAGCGTTTGCTGACCAATCGTGAGCACGGAACCGTCTTCGGCTTGGCCAATCACCGTGAGAGGATAGATATCCTAGATATCAACCAATCGTCGCTTTGGATATCGTAGTGGGCGGGGTTTTGGACAGTGTGAAGCCGTTGGTGGTGATATAGTGGGAGAAGGGAGGAAAAAGGTATCCGGGTGAATGAAAGCGTTTCTGACCAATCCTGTGCTCGGAACCGTCTACGGCTTGGCCAATCACCGTGAGAGGATAGATATCCTAGATATCAACCAATCGTCGCTTTGGATATCGTAGTGGGCGGGGCCCTGGACAGTGTGAAGCCGTTGGTGGTGAGATAGTGGGGGAAGGGAGAAAAATTCCGTTGACCAAGCTACGCCCAGCGACGTCTGTAATTGGCTGTTAGAGCCAAAGCGGGCTCGAGACCGCTCCGCGGACGCTGATTGGCCGACGGTGAAGGCGTGCCGCCTTCACCGTCGGCCAATCAGCGTCCGTGGAGCGGTCTCGAGCCCGCTTTGGCTCTAACAGCCAATTACAGACGTCGCTGGGCGGGGCTTGAGTGAAGGAAAACAGTTAAACGGTTTCATTCGTGAGGAGAAGCCGTTGGAGGATGTCTCAGGCCGAGAGGCTTCCCCCTCACGATCCGAGCGGCCTGGTCCTCCGCGCCGTGGAGATGCACACCGGAGGGGAGCCGCTCCGTGTGGTGCCTCCTTGGGGCGGCCTGGCCTCGCTGTCAGCCCCGGGCCTGTCGCTGCTGGAGCGGCGCCGCCTCCTGCTCACCTCCCCGGAGCTTGACGCGGCGCGGCGGCTGCTGATGCACGAGCCGCGGGGCCACCGCGACATGTATGGGGCGCTGCTGGTGCCCAGCGAGCTGCCCGAGGCCGACGTGGGCGCCCTCTTCATCCACAACGAGGGCGCCAGCGCCATGTGCGGCCACGCCGTCCTCTGCCTGGCCCGCTTCGCCCTCGACTACGGCCTACACCGCGGCGGGGCTGCTTTCCCAGGAGAGGCCGCGGTCACCATCCACTGCCCCTGCGGGCCCGTCACCGCCTTCGCCGCCTGGGACGGAAAACGCAGCGGGGCCCGTGCCCGCTTCCACAGCGTCCCCGCCTTCGCCGCCGCCACCGGTAACAACAATATTGTCGAAGGCTTTCATGGCTGGAATCACTGGGTTTTTTCGGGCTATAGGGCCATGTTCTAGAGCAGTGGTTCTCAACCTTTCTAATGCCGCAACCCCTTAATACAGTTCCTCATGTTGTGGTGACCCCCAACCAGAACCCTAACATTATGAATCGCCATGTAAATAATAATCTGCAGGGTGTACTTTCATTCACTGGAGGAAATTTGGCACAAATACCCGGTATGCCCAAATTTGAATACTGGTGGGGTTGGTGGGGGGATTGATTTTGTCATTTGGGAGTTGTAGTTGCTGGGACTTACAGTTAACCTGCAAACAAAGAGCATTCTGAACCCCACCAACAATGGAATTGAACCAAAGTTGGCACACAGAACTCCCATGACCAACAGAAAATACTGGAAGGGTTTGGTGGGCATTGGCCTTGAGTTTGGGAGTTGTAGTTTGCCTACATCCAGAGAGCACTGTGGGCTCAAACAATGATGGATCTGGACTAAAGTTGGCACGGATACTCAATATGCCCAAATGTGAAAACTGATGGGGTTTGACATTTGGGAGTTGTACTTGCTGGGATGTATAGTTCACATACAATCAAGGAGCGTTCTGAACCCCACCAATGATAGAATTGGGCCAAGGTTCCCACACAGAACCTCCATGACTACAGAAAATACTGATTACAGAAAATACTCTGACACACCTTCGTGACCCCCCCAGGGGTCCCGACCCCCAGGTTGAGAAACACTGTTCTAGAGGCATTTCTCCTGACGTTTCGCCTGCATCTATGGCAAGCATCCTCAGAGGTAGTGAGGTCTGTTGGAATTAGGACAATGGTAGTGAGGTCTGTTGGAATTAGGACAAATTGTCCAATGGGGCATGTGGACAATTTCAACAGAAAGGAAGAGACCATGAAAATGAACAAAATCTGGCTACCAGTATTAAAAAACTCTAAAATTACAACAGCAGAGAGGAAACCACCAGGCACATCTTAACACCTCTCACCAAAAGATTTTCCCAGGCTCAGCCAGGCCTTCAAATGCTAATGAAGGTGGTCAGTTGAAACATTCACACCTAGCTCCAGCAGAGAAGAGCTCTTTGCCCCACCCCAGCCATTCCACAGATATACAAACCCATTGTCCTAATTCCAACAGACCTCACTACCTCTGAGGATGCTTGCCATAGATGCAGGCGAAACGTCAGGCGAAATGCCTCTAGAACATGGCCCTATAGCCCGAAAAAACCTACAAGAACCTAGTGATTCCAGCCATGAAAGCCTTCGACAATACAATAATAATAATATTTGCAAGTTTACAGATGCCAAGATGTTTATCCAAAACTATGACTTTCAAGCAGCGTTTCTCAACCTGAGAATCCGGACCCCTGGGGGGTGTCAGAGGGGTCTCCAAAAACCACCAGAAAGCAGTATTTTCTATTGGTCATGGGGGTTCTGTGTGGGAAGTTTGGGCCAGTTCTGTCCTTGATGGGGTTCAGAATGCTCTTTGACTGTAGGTGAACTATAAATCCCAGCAACCAGAACTTCCAGATGTCAAGTCTGTTCTTCCCAAACCCACCAGTGTTTGAATTTGGGCATCTTGAGTATTTGTTCCAGGTTTGGTCCAGATCCATCATTGTTTTGAGTCCACGGTGCTGTCTGGATGTAGGTGAACTACAACTCCCAAACCTAGAGACTGTGTTTTAAAGAAATCCAAAGGCCTTTAATCTGAGGCAGCCATCGGGCACACAGAATTTATGTCCTGTCTACAGTCTGATGTACAGGCCCAGCATGCGACAGCACAATATTTGTTAAACCATTTTAAATAGTCACATCGTATTTGTTCCCCATACTTATGTGCTATACGAATTAATTCAGTAGTCTCGTGATTAATTGAATTGATACTTTTGCTAAGTTTATAGCAACAGGGCATTTGTGTATTTATATTGCTAACTGTATAATGGCATTGAATGTTTGCCATATATGTATTCTGTAATCTGCTCTGGGTCCCCTCAGGGAGATAGAGCGGAAAATAAATAAAATAAAATAAAATAAAAAGGGCTGGAACCTCCTGGGACAAGAACGTTGAGGGAGCAATAGCATAAAATTATGTGGCTACTCTCCGAAAGCGCAGTGGTAGAGCTTGAAACTCTTTTTAAAGGTTTCTAATGTAGGGGCTTTCCTAATCTCTCCGGGCAATGAGTTCCAGAGTTAGGGGACCACAGAGGAGAAGGCTCTCTCCCTTGTGCCCACAAGGCAAGTCTGAGAGACTGGCAAGGGCGAAAGGAGGGCCTCACCCGAAGATCTAAAAGTTCGGGCTGGTTCATGGAGAGAGATACGGTCATGATATTTAAATTATGATTCATAACAGGAGCAAAATTACAGTTATGGAGTAGCAACAAAAATGATCTTCTGGTTGGGGGTCACCACAACATGAGGAATTGTATTAAGGGGTCATGACATTAGGAAGGTTGAGGTTTATGCCCAGTGCTAATAATGCAGTTTCCTCTATCCCACTTCATCCTTACAATGGTCTTGTGACAATTGTATGTGCGAAGCACTCCCAACACCACCTCCAAGAAAGTGGCTTAACATATCTGGAAGCCCATGGTAAAATAAATCCTGAAATGAATGCAGTTTGATACCAGTTTAGCTACCATGGCTTTATGAAATTATAGGAGTTGTAGTTTTCCATATTGGAGGTAATGGATCATGACCTGTTAGGATCATTGACCATCAGGGTATATAGATCATGAACTGTTAGGATCACAATCTAATTGGATTTGCAGAGTTTATTTGGTAATGGATGATCACTGGGCATCTAGATATTTTGTTTCTGTTTGATGCTTTCAGCAAACAATGATGCAAGCAGATTTCTTTTAAAGATAACATGCTTTGTTTACTGATAACTTCATGTGTTTAAAGATACATGCACATATCTTGTCAAGGGTTTAAAACTTCAGTAACATTTCTGAGAGTTTGTATCTTGAACTTAGAATCTTTACCAGTTTCTTTAGAAACCTGTTGCTTTATACAACTCTCTTTAAAAAAAGTTTACTTTCAAATAAAACACAAATCTCAACAGTTTCTAACACCAGCATCTGCACTCTGACAGACTCAATGAACTTGAGTATAGACTCAAGTTCATTCAAGGTTCAGCACACTTCTCTAACAGCCATTCCTCAACTGACATTCCCTAACTGTAATTCAGTTTAAACCTGAACATTCCAAGTTGTTACTGAATCAGTCACGTGACCTGCAGCCCCTCTCACTGCTTTAGGTATATAGAAATAAGGAAACTACAAACTAAATAAGACCTATACTTCACGTTATGAAATGACACATTACAAACAGACAAACATCATATAGAGGAGACTTTCTGAGACGGAGTCCCAAGGTGCCCTCGATATATTCATCTATGACCACTTATTCTGGGTTTTAATAATAACATGCGAGTGTTGCCCGGGTGTCAGAGGAACTGCTGCACCTGCTTTCACCTTTCTCCAGTTCTCACAATGTCTCCATGGCAACACTGGGCAGGCTCACTGAGAGGGAATCTTAGTGTCTCCTTGGTGAGATTGGCCTCAGATAATTCACAGATATCTCTAAGTATTTCTTGTGCCACATCACATCTGGGCTGTCAGAATTTGTATCTGTCAGTCATAAGAATTCTGGAATGTTTTTAAATAAAGCTTCTGCATGGCTTGCCTTTCTCTCAGATTCACGACAATCATGGAATCACTCTACTAATTCTTCTGCATGTTGCAGAACCCCCATTTACGCACTGTTGTGTAAGGATTTAGTCGGCTTTTGTCAACAGCATCAATGGCATGGAAGAATGGGAGCTGAAGTCCAATATTTGGAAGATCTCCCATTCTTCATCCTGAAAGAATTTCCCCCTAAGGAAATTTACCAGGAAAAAACCATGATAAGGTTGCCATTAGTTGGAGTGATCTTGAAGGGAGGTAATAACATCCCAGTTCCATCAGCATTTAAGATGAATATATGCTCCTTAACTTAGAGTCCTGATAATGTTTGACTAATATGACTAACCTCCTTTTCTGCTATTTTCCAGGCTGCAAAATTTCTTCAAATGAACACTGCTCTCTACTACTGCATTTCTTCTCATGGTTGTTCTAGTGAGCTGTACGTTTTGTTCTTAGGTGCATATGGATTTCTGTATTAAATAATACACATTGACTGCCATAGATTTTGCCCAGATTGTTGAGTGATGGTAATTCTTGTCATCTCTTTAAGAAGTTTTACTTTCTTGTAAAATTTTGAAGCTGTGCTATAGCAGAAATGCATATGTATTGTAACTTTAAGAGTACAATTCAGAAATAGATTTGCTGTTGGGAACACAGCTTCTAGTAATGAACTTGAGTGATTAATGTCAACAAGCAATTATTTATTTAATCAGTTTATTATTTCTCATCTTCCTCCTGCCAGGGAAGCCAAGGCAGCTTAAAAAATTAAAAATAGCTGATTAAGTAGTATTACAGGAGTTTGAAAATACCATTAAATATAAATGCTATTTGAAATACATAATTGAAGACAAGTTTCTGGGGCCAGAATGAGAGAACTGAGAGCCAAGAGGCATGACAGCCCCCTTTCTCCACCACACACACCAAGTTTGTCCTTCTTTTAGTCCTCATGACTAATTGAGCATCTTCTTATACTCCACCCTCCCAAAGTCTCCACTCATTTGCTAGTCACTCCTGAATTATTGGCAAAACACTTAAGATAACATTTTAGTTCAGAACATCCATAATAACATAGAATTGTTTGCTAATAATGTATGTAACATTGTAGTTCCCACTCTGCTGTACAGAATCTTTACCTAATACTTCAAATCTTTACCTAATAATGCTTGCACCTCTGTGTGTGTGACACTTTTTAAATTAATTCCATCGGAAAGTTGGCTGCTATGGTACTTTTTAAAGGACAGCCATGATTGCCATTTTCTGTGTATTTTAATCGCGTTCTTGGGTACATGTCTTAAT